GTTCAGCAGTAAGAACCAAAATTCACGTAAAAAAAGGTGAAAACCTTGCCAGGATCTAATGTAGCTTTGCACTCATTGTGGATTTGGACACCATTATTTTTCAACTCACTGCTGCACCAAACATACACGATTTTCATCCACTCAACTTCGTGAAACCTAGAATAAAAAAAATGTGCATAAAAAATGTTGCATCCTTGAGCAGTTCACACTATTGAGTTTGGTCATGAAAGTCCAGATGAATTTGATATAGATATACTAGATGAAATAATAATTCATAATCTTATTAAAATTTTCGGTTTGTGGATAGTGCATAACAGAGTGGAAACATAAAAGAATGATACTTGGTTAATGGAAGATTTCATTCATCCAACATAGAAAATTTATATTCAACATGGTATAGTTAAAAAAAAATGCGTACACTGTATAATTAAATTAAGTACCATATGATACACAGGATAATTTGCAAAGGATAATTAATTGGAAATAGTAGTGCACATAAGATTAATCAAGGATACCCTGCGAATGCAGTTCTTCAGGAACGCGAGGAATGAAGAGATATTTGGCTTAACATCATGGTCTGGTTCTCAATTTTTTTAATACTGCTTCAGTATGTAGTTAGCGTCTAGTTAGTCAAATCAAGCAACAGAAATGTGCTTAAGTTACCACATTCAGTCTAGAACTAGCAAGTGGTCAAATCCCAAGATTCAATGTTGCCCGGCAGAAGGATGGTTCTGATGGATATCTTCGAAAGCTAATAAAGGGGCGAAATGTTTTAGTAATTCTGCTTTAATTCTGTATTAGAAACTGCGTAATGGTAGTTATTCACTAATATAAGTTATGGCAGTTATGCATTAGGATTTCTAATAGTAGGGTGCAGTGGCGTATCTAAGATTCTGAGTTAGAAAAGACAATTTATTTAAATAATAATAAAACTAATTATTATTATTATATAAAAAATTGATAGTAGCATAAAATGAAATTAGGGGGTTCAAAAGTATAATAATAGAGGTGCAAAATATTAAAAATTAATATAACTAATTTCAAATGTACTAAGTAAAGGGGGTGCATCACCTTGATTTGGTTGTAGGTCCACCGTCCACCATTGGTAGGGTGTGTAGTTAGGAAAGTGTGTTGTTATTTGCAGGAAGACATTATCCTTTGTAGGAAACTCGTCTCTTGGACAAGAAGTATATTGTTCTATTATGTACGGTTTGGTTTCGGTTTAAAATTATATTTTATCAGTTATTGTACTATATTGTTGACTATTCTAAGGCAAGTGTTAATATCTAATATTTTATATAGGGGAACGATTACAAGAACGCAACCAAGAGATAACAGAAACGAAAGGCATGGGTGCATGCCATTAAAAAAAATGGCATGGCAAATACAAAGCCAAGACATAAGATCATTTTGAGTTGCGCAACAATAAAATATCATTTTTGTGTGCTACAGCCTAGATGGGATTTTGAGTTGCTTAAAATTAGAGAGGTTCTTATATATGGACAAGAAGTATATTGTTGTATTATGTATGGTTTGATTTGGGTTTAGTATTATATTTTATGAGTTTATCAATTGGTGTCCTATTATTATTTATTTTTTGACTATTTTAATGTAAATGCTAATATTTAATATTCTAATATTGGGGAACGATTACAGAACGCAACCAAGAGATAACGAAAAAATAAAGATATGAGTGCATGACACAAAAAATGGCATGGCAAATACAAAGCCAAGGCATAAGAGCATTTCTAATAAGAGTTGCTTAACAATAAAATATTATTTTTGTGTGACACGTGATTTTGGGTTACCTTAAATTAGAGAGTTCCGTATACAAGGGGAAGGGGAGTCATTCCTTGTGAATTGCTTAGCTTTTTTGTGTGTGAATGTAAGAGAGAGAAATGAGATATTGAAGAGAAAGAATATATATTTGTAAGTTAAGCAATTTCTTATAAGAACTTCCATTGGAAGGAAAATTAAGTTTGCTACTTAAAATTGAAGTGACATGTATGGGTCGACTTAAAGAAATAAAATGGTAAGAGCATTGGAGATGCTCCAACACAAACACGAGCTCTTCATTCCCGCTGCTTGTCTACCAAGGAGACACCCTAGTCCCTAATATAAAAAGGAAACCGTATGCTAAACAAACTAAAAGGCCATAAAAAATCGTCACAAAAAAAAAAAAACTAGGTTCAAATACTTTCTGTTATAAATACAAGCACTTTGTCCAGCCAAGCAGATAATCGCATATTAGATCACTTTTATTCACTAATCATGCCAACAATACAATTTCTTTGCATTGAAGGGAAAAATAAATAAGCTAATTTTCTGTGCAGAAGATTAATATCATATTATCATTAGTAAGTAGTAATTGCTTAAACGTGGAGAACTTACCAACTAAATCTGTAGAGAGAATTTACAAGTTGACATTATATACAACAAAACCCTATTGTTGAAGCCTCAGCCGATTGAAGAAGACCAGAAAAGGATGCTTAGGGACCCAGCACACAAATCCAACAATAGGCCCTGCTTTGATGTACTGCAAATCAAAGTCCGACATGTGTCAATCAGAGCCATTTGCACGACAATAATAAAGGATGATCTCAAACTGGATTTGAAATCAAGATAAAACAATTAGATAAGATTGGTCAATAACAGCGTTTCCATCTAGAATCACAAGTTCACCGTCAACCCATCGAGGATTCTGAAATCTTGGCTCTGCAAGCCTCCCTTGACCTTTATAGCGTGCAATCTGTGATGAGAATAACATCAAAATATTAAGCAAAACGCTTATAATATTTTTCCACTCTGAATTAATTTCATTGTAATGAAAATAGGAGGAAAATGACGGACAAAACAGTGGGAACAACTATTGGGACACTAAAAAAAGTACACTCCTTACCAAACCAAACTCCTTTGGAATTATTCCCTCATGAGGAAGCTGGTACCTCTTTCCAACTTTTGCTCGAAATGCTACCTAAGGAGATCAAGGAACATGACACATTGACAAGTATACAATACAGTGCATAATGACAAGATTAGCTCAAAAAAGTGAATGCAAAATTGCAAATTCATAACAGCAACAAATAAGTATTTTAGCTTACATCAAAACCCAGGATCAATACTACATAGTTTAATCAATTCCCAGAGCAAACACTTCTAACAGAATACATTGAAAACTTCCCTCAACCTAGTAACAAGCTTGAAGTTTTGGTGCTTATATAACCAAACAGAATACATTGAATATATTCCCTCAACATAGGTTATATCTTGCACTAACTGCAAGCACTATTTTTGAGTTAACATGTAGTAGTTGCATTTTTCTCCATTGTATATTTAATTTACACGATGATTTCAGCTTAATGAGACACTTCCGACTTACAGCACTAAAGTCCAGAAAAAATCCCTGCAATACATTGAAGGCTACAAAATGGTTCTCTTACCTTCTAACAAATTAACTGACAGTGATGTTGTTTGATCTCATTCAACATATACAACGCATGTGACCTAACTCATCAGTTCACCTTGCAATTGAGTGTGAAAATGTACAAAAATGTCAAAATCTAAAAATCTTACAGTACAGGTGCAACTTTGGTGCATGTCAATGTTCCTATTTTGAATTATTTGATTATCTAAATATACTTATCAATTAAGTAAACAATAATTTTTCTTGTTTAATTAGGAAGAATTGATTAATAATATTAAAATTAAGTATGTAATACTTTTTATTTGTTTACATATTATTTGTAATTACATGTGTCAAATGTGTATATTAAAAGTATGCTTTAAAATTTACAGGAAATAAAGTGTCTATTCTGTAGATTGAAGTCAGAACCATGTGATTTCTTATGTCACATGGATACTGGAGTCCCAAAATGTTGTCAGTGTTCAGAGTCAGACTTTCACAGTCACTTTGATCTGAAAATTAAAAGGAAAGAAGTGAAAGTATTCCTTAAACCAAGAATTCATTTTTCTTAATTCACAATTTAATATTCTGTAGCTCACGAGTTTGCAACAAATGAGCACCTCACTTGTCAATTTGCATGATAGAGGTTAATGCTTGGTCATTGTTATAAAAATCTGGCCATTTATATAGATAAATAGACAGATAGACAAATAAATAGATAGATAAATACAATACAATACAATACATCAAACTGTAAATTCATAGAAAATAATAAGTTAACCAAATCTTGGAAGGACTTTCTGTTCTTCAATTCATGCAAAATAATTTTTTCCAAACAAAACAGGGAGGTTGGGTCTTAGAGCTTTAAAGAAACCAATATCACAAAATAGTAAAGGATAGAAGCAAAACTTATTTTTCATTGTTTATAAAATCTATCAAAGAAATTTACAGTATTACCTGGCCAGCTGGTACATAAGGATCGCCAGTCAGTTTCAAAGCTTCCACATACTCATAAAATTCAAAATCGGAAGGCTTCTTAGCCCCATCATCTTCTTGCCAATGGCCATATCTACAGCTCAGTTGAATTACTTCAGAGGAGTAAAGCCCAAGTGAACCAATGTATAAACCTGATGAAAATGAAAATATTTTCTATTCAGTATAGACTCAAATCAAAATATAAAATCCTATGGTGAACAGACAATTTTAGCACTGCAAAATACTCAAATTTGACAAGTTCTCTAAAATATCACCATTTAAAGGATCTAAAGAAGTTGGTATTTCAATGCGACTGAAAATTGTTGATCCAGACAATTGTTCATGGTTCTGAGCCCGGCTAGGACTTAGACTTACTAATTCTCCCACATCTTTCAGAACCTGAAAGGTTGAAGCAAAGACATTATCATATAACCAAATTTTCAGCCAGACTCAACAAAGACACCAAACTTCACAGAACCAACAATTTACAGGTTTCTATTTCAGTCAGAATAAGATCATATCAATTATTACATAATAAACTTTGACCTACCTTCGAGGGTACCTTCCCCCTTCCAATGAACTTAGCAAGATTAGACATAACACGATCAACACTAAGTTGACCTCGAAGCTTTGCTGATTTATCTGGTGAAGATTTCCCTTTGCCATGACCAACCTGTTGATTGACTTCTTTTTCTATGGTTAAGGAAAATGAACCTTGTCCAGTTGTCTCCAGCTTTGCAGGAACTCGAAGCAAATCTCTCGTTGTCAAACTGCTGGAAAGTTTCTGAACAAGACCACCAATGACAACTTTGCCTGCAATTTTACTTTGTTCTTCACGTTCAAAAGTTTCCAGACTAGAATTTAATTCAATATCAGCATCAGTTTGAGACTTGATATCTTTTGGTTCTGGATTCTCTGTATCATTGTTCCTATCAACAAATTCATCTGCATCTGCATCTTCATTTTCATCTTCATCCCCTTCTTCCTCAGTTATCTGTTCAATCATCTTAGATATTATATCCTTGTCTACCTTGTCTGGAGTTGTCACTTTAAAAGCCTTCAAATCTACTCCAGGAATTGTATCTTTCAAGAAATTCTGAAATCCAGGCATTCCCTCAGATGGATCATCAGTGCTCCCAACAAATAGCTCACTACTATCTTCAGGTGACTCAAATGAACTCAATCTCTCAGCAGCATCCAATGCTTTAGAGGATGCTGTTCTCCTCTTTAAGTACACAACCTGAAAATTATAAGAATTAATAAGATAAATGGTCACCATGTTCTCATTTATAATGGTAAGTTGGCAACAAACTATGGATTAAGTTGAAGCCCCAAACCAATAACTATGGATTGGTCAGGTGGGCATTCCTAAATAAATGACTTGCCACTTGGTTAGGTTTCTGAAATTTGTAAACTGTAAAGAAGCATGGTTTGGTTAAAGTTTGAACCTCAAGCAAATCAAGATGGACCATGAAACCCAAAAACCTAATCTCAATTTGCCATGAAAACAAAATTTATAAATTTGACAATGACACTTTGAAAATTAAAACAATATGAACCTCCAAATGAAAATTGGGAAGTAACATGCCTGTTTTGGCCTAAGTCAGTACTTTTTCCTGCTAAAAACCAACGCAAAAGAGAACCATTTCCATCAATATTCTAAATCCAACTAAGTATCAAAAATATAAATTGGTTGATATTCTAGACTGCTTATAATTTGTAGAACCACAAATATTTGTGAAAAGATCTTGTGATAACAATTCAGATTTTATTTGACCATAAACAATAAGAATATACTTTATTCTTGCATATAATCCCTGATTCCTCTGCCATAATGCATATATGATAAAAAATGATTTTTTTTCCCACAGGATTATTGAAAGAAAACTTGTATAGCAGTCTACAGAAGATCATCCTTAGCACACTCATTTTCATATTCAGATGAGATATTTTCAAAGAGCAATGACAATCCATCTTGAGCTGATGAAATAAGGTAATTGAGCTCAAATTTTAGAGATAAATGCTTGTTTATGTTGTGATGGTCCCAGCAAAATATTAAAAATAATAATAATTCAGTTGAGAAAAGATACCTTTGACTTAAATTCATCTTTCTTATTCTTTGTGAGAAAAATTTCAAATAGAGGACTACCAGCTGCAGAAGAAATAAGTTGCCTGAAAAATTATGGTGAAAAGGGTGAACACCAGAAGCCACATGAGATAGCATGACCATCAAAATGTATCAAAGTAATATAAAGAAATGACCTAAAAAACAGAATAGAACTTCTCCTATAATAGAAGAGATAATTACAAAGAATAACATTGGAAAAAATATATCTAGTTTGGAAACAATTAATCTCTCAAATGGTTAATTATGTTCAAGAGAGGTTGGTGAGTAAGCACTTATTGATTAACTAATTGAATAACGTACCTAAGTTAACTCCATATGATATATTGGACAAAAGGAACACAGAAGGCAATCAAGGCAAGAAGTCAAATAGAAATTACCTAGGATTATAACTCCTTGCCACATATCTTCCGTGCTCTGGAGTTATGCGAATAATTAGACCATGTGGGTCATTAATGTCTTTTGACATTCCAGCCCACCAACCCACCTGCAAGAGCCAACAAAACATGTGACGTCAAAGTGTATTATTATTGGTTAATCTCACCTTGATAGTCCACACATTTTTCCAACCTAAGTGATGACAGCAAGTCAAGTATAGGGTTTTGGATAAATTTCTCTAGAAATAATTATGGGAAAAGAAAATGGGAAGAACAAATGGAATTAGCTTCTTCATAGACTGAAATCAGCATTAGCTTATACATAAACTAATTTGTAAAAACACTCTAATATTAGTTTCTTTAAAAAAAGTTTTTTTAAATTATCTATAAGCTAATTTTACCTTATGAAAAAGTCAATTTCATTTTATTTTCTCCTTTTAAGTGCTTCTCCAAACTTTTTTTTTTCCCCTTTAAGTGCTTCTGCAAAAAATTTATCCAAACAGGGTCATAGTTACAATTATTACTAGCATTACGATCACGATCACCCATTGATGTCACATGTCAGATTCCATGCATAAACAAAGAAATTCGTGCAACGAGAACTCACAAGTCCAGTACCAGCTTCATCTCTTAAGAAAGCTGCATCACTGTACCGCTCTTCCTCTACGGCACACTGAAACATTGGGGAGATAAACAATATTATAGATGAAAGGGAGGTAGTAAGTAAGCAGAAAGGAATGCAAAGAGAGAGTGAAAATCGGTACATTGAGATGAGATATGACTGTTCCAACAGTGTCATTGGCAGCTACAGCTGCAATGGCGACCTTAAGCGTAGCAGCGTCTTCATAATCCTCGAAACGCACAGCATCACCTAAGTGAGACTGTTACAACGTGTCATTGTCATTCGTCAGAAGTTGAAACAAACAATTCACATTTCACACTCACGGCACAATTTGTAGTTGGTAGTGTAGTGTAGTGTAGTGTGTGTGTACCTTGAGAGTGTGGAGAAGACGCTCTTGTTGATCGACTTCGTGGAAATGGCGGCGCCATCGATCCCAATCCCACTCTTGGTCTTCGACGGAAGCAGAACCGCGCAGGGAGTTGATGTAGGAATGGAATTTGTTGAGGGAGTTGGAAACGACGTCGTGGGAGAGGGAAGGGAATGGAAGTGAGGGTCTGGAGAATGAGAAGGGGAAAGAGGAGCAGAATTTGGAGTTTGGAAAGGTGAAGTGTGCTGTTGTTGTTGGCGATGGTGATGATGATGATGGCATGGAAGCAATGGATGGATGTGTCAATGTCATGTTGGAGGCACAGTGTGTGTGATGATGAAGGAAAAAGAGAGAAAGGGTGAGTGAATGTGAGGTAGCAGTGATTTAAATGCAACAAATTAAGGAATGGGAAGCAATGAAATAAAGATGAGGCTGTGAAGCAATAAGCATGAACGGAAACAATTGGATTCGGCTACAAGTGATAAGAACGAACTTCGGTTACATGCTTCCATGATGTGTCCTCACCTTAGCTTTGTCAGGAGATTAAATCGGCATATACATGTAACATCCAAGTAATTCTATCCAATTTTCTAAATCAAAGTTCCGATTCTCGTGGGGAGGAGTTTATTAAATTAATTATCTCATCCTTCCATATAAATTATAATGGTTATTTCGAAAGAAAGTGCTTTTCAATATTTAATCTCATTTAATTTGATTTATTATTTTTTTAAAACTAAAGTTTAATATACATATATATATTCATATTTTAACGTATACATTAAATACACATTTTGTAAACCCTTTTATTTTAATATTTATCTTAAAATATTAATATCTACTAATCCACGATAGAATTTTAACCTAAAGAAAGAATTCAATTCGGTTTTGTTAAGAAAATAAATGCTAGCTTAAACAAAGGTTTATTCAAACAAACCTAAAGAAAGAATTCAATTCGGATTTGTTCAGAAAATAAATGTTTAAACAAAGGTTTATTTTATTATGATTTGCTCCTAAACTAATGATAATTATTATTATAAATTATTGGAAAAAAATAGTCATTGGTTTAACCTATGAATAAATCTTCAATTCTATTCTACATAAATTAAAATATTGGATCAAGTAAAAAAATTAGGTTTAACTCTTATAAAAGTGACAGATTGTATTTAAGAAGATAAAATATATTCTTAATCGTTAATTATTTATAATAATTGATTAAAAAATCAATGATTAAAAATTATGATAAAATAAGGTCTAAAATTAATTATAAATTTATTTATTAATTTATTAATTAATAATTATTATTGTACTTTATTATCTTAAAAACAATCTCTTAATTTTAGAAGAGTCAAATCTTAAAAATATAATATAAATATTTGACTTAATTACACTTTTTTTATCTATATTTTATAAATTTGTTATTTTATTAGTTGAATAGCATGATAAATTGATCATTAATATAACATGTTAATTGTAAAAATAAATTACTTATGCAACATACAAATGATAATGTGACATATGAGGTGTCACAATAGCTCAATTAACTAAAACTTCAATAATCAATATTTATGAAGCCAATATCATAATAACAAAATGTGCAAAAGTTTAAAATTATATAACAAAATGTATAATTTAAAAAATTGAGTGACAAAATTTACAAAATCATAAAGTATCAATGACAAAAAGTTAATTAAGCATAAATATTTTATTATTAAATTAATACATTTTTAGATCAAATTATTATTGAGTGTTGTTTTTTAACTTTTGAGTGTTTTGAAAAAATAATTTAAAGATGTTATTTTCCAAATTAATATACTAATATAATTTGTAATTTTAATAAATTATACTTGCTAAAAAATATTAAAAAAGAAATATCAGAAATCACTTGATTCTTAATCTGTTAAATGGATTGCATGGCTTGACGGGCAGTTGAAGAATCCCGCCGTGGAGAAGCAAACCGTTATACATAGACACACTTGGAACTGAAAGAAAAAGAGTGGGAAAGAAGAGAAATCAATAATCAAGAAATCGTATACTATTAACTAGTCCATCGCAATCGGTTTCTTGTGTTCCATTGTTGCGTTGTGAAAATGAGTAGAGAAGGCGAGGGAGTGAACGTGCCACTGCTAGATTCAACTCCGACCACCAGGGTGAGGCCGACAATGAGATCCGATCCTTTCTTGACACTCTGCAGCTGCTTCAGCTTCGTCACCGTCTTCTCTGCGATTCTCTGCTGCCTCGTTAACCTCATCTCTGCTGTTCGCTCCTTCAAACACCACTCCGACGTATCTCTCTTTCTCTTTCTTTAAAACCTACTGTTACTTATTCGCTTCTTGTTCAATATTCATTGCTTTGTTGCGTCCCTTCAGGTTTTCGATGGCATATTTCGGTGTTACGGCGTTTTCTTGGCGTTTATTTTGGCTCTTGCTGAGACCGAATGGAGCTGCATCTACAAGATCTGGCAGGTTAGTTACTTACTTAGTTTCCTTTTCTAATTTAATTATACTCATTGAATTAATTGTAGATGCTATTAATAATAATGATGCTGTTCTCACTTCCTGCATTCGAATTTCATGCATCGCTTCACAGGTTCTTGAGTATTGGTTTACCAGGGGTATGCTGCAGATCTTGTACGTTTTTGCTTTATCTTTTTCTTCTTCTTTTTCTTATCTTACACTTGTACAAGTTTTTGAATTCATAACACTGTATTGCCATAAATGGCTGTTAACTTCGGTAATTAATGTGCTAATAAAATGTTGAGTGTAGGGGGTACGAATTGCTAGGTTATTTTGTTTGCATTATGATGCATGAACTTTGTAGTTTTGTCACTTAGACGTGATTTTTCTGTTCTTCAGTGTTGCGGTCATGACTAGGGCTTTCCCTGACTACAGTAGGGAGCGAAAAGAGTTTATTCTTCTTCAGCGCATAGCCTGCTATATGCTTCTTAGTTGTGGCGTCGTTTACGCTGTGTCGGTAAGACTATTAAAGAGAATAAACTAATTAGTTGCGTATGCTAGAATGTGGTATGGTTTGTAGATTATACAAACCATTTGATGTTTATATTATTATATATATATATATATATATATATATATATATATATATATATGATAAACCTTTGGACGGAGTTCTATCATCGATGTACAACCTATATTCTGTTAGGGTTAATCTTTCTTTCTCTGTATTTTTTTTATATGACCTTCCCCAGTCAATACTTTAAGAATTTTTGTTTCATTGTATTACCATTTGAAAAGGGAATCTTTTGCATTGGTTTTCTGAAACGTTCTCTCCAAAAGCGGAAGATCTCTAGAGAGCAAGCAGCAAAGGAAATTAAGGTAATTATATGCTTATATTATGACTTAACACTTTGAGAATGAAATATATTGGATTGCATTCGACATGCATATATGTAGTTTTTGTCTTTCCTTAATAGCAATTAACGACAAAACATTGCAAATGAACAAATTTAAATGCTGGAACATTTACCATGACCTTATGTTGCTACCTTTCTTATCCAAACCTGGAATCAACTGTATTACTTGATAATAGCCAATGAATTATTTTTGAGTTCCAAACCGCATTGTTTTAAATCAACAGATTAACTTCTACTTTTCTTAATTAGCTAAAGAATAAAGAAAATAAATCAAGGATTTTGGGGACCGTATAATTATTGCTGTTTTTATTTATTGAAAAGAGTTAAGAGTGCATCTACAGTAATATACCCGACTGTTATACCAATCACCTTCGAATGGGGAGAAGGTTTGCTTCTCTTACTATTGTCCCTTTTCTACAAAATATTATTTCGTGAAGATTGGGTACAACGCACAAAGATTCATAACTTGAACTTTTGTTTTCGCTCTTAACTGACAAAAAGTTCATACTATTTATTATCTCTCAGTAACTTCTTATCTGCATTTAATCCATATTAATATTTACTAATAGTTACTGAAATTTATTTGCTTTTTTGAGCTCTTAAACAGGAGATGGAACGACGTAGAGAAGAACTTGAACAACTTTTAAGAGAATAGGTTTGAATCTTTTGAGAGTAGTGCTAAAATCGTCACATTACAAAAACCTCCACAGGCAACCAATGCGGTAGATTGGTAGTGTAGTTTGTTTGTTCCATAGTGAGTTACATTCTTTAAGGGGAGCAATTGACCTATTGTGTAAATATATAAAAGTAATATTCAAAATATATGATGTTTCAAAATCTTTTCTAAAGGATGAATTCAGTCATAACTGGTGTTCAAACACTCTTTACCTTCAAATTTCTGTGAAGAATGACTTCATAGAGTAGTTTCTGTCGCAAAAAAAATAATTATAATTAGATGCTGAGCCTAATAAGAGTATGAAATTAGCCAGTGAGCAGAATTCGTAATTTTAACGAAAATGTGAACAGTTGATACTTTATACATTCACTGTATTAATTCAAATTTAAACATATATACAAATAGATTTGCCAAAATAACCCAGCAGAAGATGCCCTTAAATTAAAGGGTGGACAAAAATGTGGAAGATTTTTTTTTAATAATAATAATAAAAATAATAATAATAATGTTATTATTATTGTTAAAAGTGAAGGCATTCTCGTGTATTGTATTATCAGACTTATATAGCGCCCCTCATTAAATTTAGATTTTGTGAGCTGTTTCTTGGTGTCAAAATTAAAATTGTCTTTACTCAAGGTTATAGTAAGAACCCAATTGCTTGGATATCTTCAGGGACGCCAATTTTACATAGACTAAAAAATTAGCTAAATGTATTTAATATTTTTCATGATTTCATGTAAAATATATGTTATATTTTCTAGAAATATTCTCTATTACATTTATTTATTGTAAATACTTCCATTTATTGCTTTTGAAGTATTTTCGAATTAAAAATATTAAATAAAGTTCACTTGATTAAATTTTATTTAATTTTTAGTAAAAAAAACTTAAGTATTTCTTATTTATATATAGGATCAGAGTGAGTATTTATAACTATATGTTCAAAATGTTTAATTTCATTAGTAATCTATTAAAATACAAAATGTTTCCTCAACATGTTACGAAAATGAGATTTCTACCCTTTAGAAAAAATATATTATCATTTTATTGAGGATTAAAGAAAAACAACAATAACAAAATTAGAAAACATTAGGAGAATCCTTCTCTCCTTTCGAATATAATTAATTAAAAGTATCATCTGTTTAAAGAGATTTTTTTTGTTGAAAATAATTAAAAAGACACGTGGCATTTAGATATTTAATTATGTATATAACTTAATAAATAACAAATTTAAATAATAAATCTAATTAGAACAATTACATTTATGATTTAATGGAATAAAAAACATATAAACATCATTTTCAAGCCAGATTAAAAAATAATTACATTTATAACTTAATAATCCAATGAATTCAATTCAGTAAAAAAATAAAGAAAGATGGTAATTATATTTGCAATAGTTAAAAGAAAAGGATGATAATAATATTACCTAAATCACAAGTCCTTGATATTATTTCTGGCGTAATAAACAGTAGAAGTCAAGAAAAATAATAATACGTGTTTGAATCTTGGTTATTTGACATCCTTTCTCGATATTTATTAATTTCTGATAATTGTTTAAAATCATTTATAAAAATGTTAGATATTATAAAATACCACAAGAGTAATAAGATAGGATAAGTTAGAGTAGGATATAATAAGAATATGGTAAATTTTAATTATGTCTAATATTAATATATGATGCATACCATTATAACAAATTAGATAATAATATTATTATATATATCATATTTAAAACTATTAATAAGATGTTGTATAAATTATATTCAAATAATAAAATTTCAGTTTTATTAAAATTATACACACATATATATATATATATATTATTTTTAAATAAGTATTAGTTAATTTTTAAAATTTTAAATTAAAGTATATATAAAAAAATATTTATGCAGTCATTTTTCTTAATTTTTTTTTTATTTAAGCAAAGTCTAACGTGGATTACTGTAAATAAAAAATATAATAAAAAGTAAATATATTATTAAAAATGATGAATCAAAATTTTTAATTATTAGTGAAGTTGATACGTTATTTGTTTGTTTAATAATAATACGTGAGAAAAAAAATGTCAATATCAAAGGAAAAAATGATAAGAACAACTTAAAAAAAAAAAAGAAAAAAAAAGTAAGAATTGAAAATAAAATAGTGTCTGTTGGCTCCATCCCCGTCCCTGAGGAAATTCAAAATTGAAAAAGAGCGCGTCCTTGCCGGCGCTGCTTCAGAAGTTCATCGCTCGCATCAGATTCAGATTGCTCATTGCTGTGCTTTCTTTCTCAACAACACCAGGTAAACCTCCTATCTCTACTATCTAACATAACCTAATCTTCACATTTCTCTAATACACCAATTTTCAATTACTCAGATCTGATACCGTTGCCATTGCTCAATCATCTTTTCACTTCTCAAAACACATATTCCATTTTTTTATTTCAATTTCTGCATATAATTTTGCGTGGCTTAATGCTTGAATTCAAATAATATTGTGTGTATTATATTATTCCTGTGTTGGAAGGAGGAGAAAATAATGGACAGTGTCTATGCCGAGTTAGACGATGCCAAAGCAGAGGTGGAGAAGCTCAAGGCTGAAATTCGACTCAAAACGCAACTCTTCGAGGGTTTGAAGAAAGATCGCGCTCAGGATTTTCTCAAATTTCAAGAAACTAGGCAGCGGATCCAGGAACAGGCGCGTGAGCTCGATCTCAAGTCTGATGAGGTTCACGAACTGAAGAAAGTTCTTGAAGATTTGAAGTCTAGTTTGCATGAAAAGGAAACGCACATTGAACATTTGGGTTCGGAGAATAAAAGGATCCAAGCGAGTTCTGCTGATAGGTTGCTCAAATTGGAGGAGAGCAACAGAGGGTTGGTGTTGGCTTTAGATGAATTGAGAGCAAGGCATGATTCTCTGGAGCAGAGTTCTTGTGCCAGCAGTAAGGAGATTTCGGGGCTTAGGGCACTTCTGTTGGCTACAGAGAAGAAGTGTTCAGAAGCAGAAGAAAAAGCTCAGCAAGCTATGGTGCTGAAACGAAGAGATGATGTGATATTGCAACTGGAGGAAGAGAATATCAGTGTGAAGCATAAGATTAAATGGAGGAATGAACAGTTTAAGCATCTTGAAGAGGCTCATGAGAATCTTCAAGCTGAGTTCCGATTGAGCAAGGAGGAGTGGGACAAGGAGAGATCTGTGTTTCTTGAGGAAATTTCTTCCTTGCAGATTAGCTTGGATTCTCAAACAAGAAATGTAGAGGGTCTTCAATCGCGTTTGGAGATGTGTAACCATGCATTGGCTCACGAAGAGAGCAAGAGGAAACTCCTCGAGACTGAAATTTCGGAATTCAAGGCTAGCTTTGAGAATGTTTATAGTCAATGTGAGGAGAAGAAGTCAGAGATACAAGAATTGACAATTCTAAGAAATGACGAGATAGCGCGGCTGAGAAACTCACTAGGAGACAAAGAGATGGAGGTGAGAGAACTGAAACGTAAAATTGTTCAACTTGAACAAGATAATAAGGAATTTGGGGATTCACTTAAAGAACTTAGGGAAGCTCAGATCAATAATTGTGGAGCAAATTCTTTGACATCAAAGCTCCGCAACAAGCTTAGACGGTTGGAAGTGGCGCATAAAAGCTGTGCCTCAATGTTCAAGTCTAAAGAATCTCAATGGAGTGATCAAGCGGCAAAGATGGAAGCAGATATTGCTACTTATAAGTCTGCACTGATCAATAAAGAACAAGAAATAAGGAAGCTTCAGACCGAATTAGACAATTGTTATTATGTCATTGAAGAGGATCAAATGGGACTCTTGATCTTTAAATCAGAACTTGCTGAGGCTCACTCCAAACCGTTTAGTGCAGACCCTGATAAAGCTTTTGGTATCAAAGAGAACGAAAATATAGTTCGAATTTGTACAGAACAATTGAGAGTGAAAGACAGTTCTCTAAAAACTATGGCACGACAACATTCTCAGTTGGAGGAAGAACTTGAACAACAAAAGAAAAAGCTTGAGGAATCATCTGAGGCTCAACTCATCTTGAAAGAGCAACTATTGCAAATGGAATACACCCTACAGTATGAAAGAAGTGCTGTGTCTGAGGCTCTAGAAAGGCTGGAACTTGAAATATCCAGTAAAAATTATGTAATATCTCGATTAGAGTGTGAAGTGCAGAATTGGAAGTCTACTGCTGAAGCCCTTGAAGTTTCCTATGAAGAAATTCAAGGAACTAGTAAAAAAATGGAAACTTCTGTTCTATCTCATATTGAGAATGAGCAAGCCCTTAAGCAGGCCAATGAAAACCTTCTCTGTATTGTAAAGGATCAGGAGAGAAAAACTGAAGACCTTCTGCTGCAGATCACTTCATTGGAAATGTGCAATGCAGAGAAAATGAAGGAAGCAGAAAGATATAAGCAAGAGAAAGAGGGTCTTATCCAAATTGTAGAGCAGAAGGATTGTTGCATAAAAGATCTTCAAAAAAATATAGCCATTGTCTGCTTGAAGCAAGAATCCATGGAAAAAGAACTAAAAGATGCAATTCATGCACAGCTGGATGCAGAGAAGGCTCTCAAGCACGAGAAAGAGATTCTTTTGAAGATTAAAGACGAGAAAGATCGAACTATAAAGCAATTCCAGGAGCTAGCTACTGCATCAGAACAGGATTTGTTGGACGCATTGTGTTTTTCTTTCTCAAAACAAGTAGAAAAGTGGGTTGAGGTCAGTGTGCTTAGTGACGCCTTGAGATATGCGGAATACGTGGCAAAACTAGAAATTGAAGAAAAGAACACGAGAATAGTGAAATCAGAAGAATCACTCTTCCATTTAAAACAAGAAGCAAAGCAGCTTCAAGCATCATTGGAAGTCATGAAGTTTGAAAATGAAAAATTGACGGATAAACAGCAGACCATGGAATACATAATATCGGAGCTCAAGTTTGAGAATGGTAATTTGCTCCAAGACATCATGAACTTATCGACAAAAAGGGAAGATATGTTGTCACATTTTGAAGGCATTCTTGGAAGAATTGGAGAGTTGTCTAGTGAGGATATACCATTGATGGAGATGCTGGAGAATATGTTGAATACTTCTGTAGATGAAATTGAAATAGCAATGGGTTCAGTAGTTTGCGAAAAGCCACATGATTCTGCTAGAGATGGTGCAAATGGTCTTTTTCGTCCCACCATGAAAAAAACAGAAGAAAATTTTGATGGACGATCGCCACTTAGAGAGGTTAATGGTTTGCATATGTAGACCAGAAAAGGAGTCTGTGATCTTGCTGTCGAAAATGCCAATAAGGTATACAAGTTCAGAAATAATTTCCTCTTCGCATTGTCATGTTTAATTGTTTATGACATTAAATGCACATGTAGGCAAACTGTCCCTCAAAAACTATCTTTCAGAAAAAATGTGTATCAAGATAGGTTGGAAATGGAGATAAACGAATAGGCTACAGATAGGAAGCTTATAATATGTTTTTTTCCTGAACCTCATATCATGTGTTTTAAGCAAAGTCCTATTACTCGTCATCTTGTCAATAGTAGAAAAGCAACTTACAATTCTGTTGTGACACTTTTGAGGACAAGTACTGTGGGCTAACTAACATTGAGATCAGGATTAACTGACTTTGCCATATGTGTACTTCATGTTCCTAAAAGTTTCCTATAATTGAATTGTGTGAAAAGTTGGTGCTATTATGTTTCATAACTCATAACACCATAGCTAAAAGGAATCGTTAGAATTGCCTTAGTAGTGAAGATCGGAATAATATACATAAGATTTTAAGTTTGAATATTATTGTCTTAGTTATATACAAAAAAATAAAATAAAATAATAGCTAATTATTGATATTTTAAGGTTTAATAGTATTTTTTTGTTTCAATTTTGGGTCCTTAAATTTTTTCTAGTTAATTAAAGTTCTCTATTTTTTTAATTAAGTAAATCTAATATTAGTTTTCTTCTACCTAAAACTAAGAAATTCTCATTTCTCATTTAGAAATCATAAATTTAGTAAAATTTTGAAAAAAAAATTAAAGAATTTTTGCAAGAAATTAGAATTTAAAGAGGAAAAATAGAGATTTTCTTTTGGGTTAATTTATTTATTTTTATCTATTACAATGATGATAAAAAATTTAAACCTATGACCTTGTGCATTCACTCTTATTTCTTTTGGGTTGAAATTTGATATTTAAGATAGTGAGTTGAGTGGCATAAAAAACATAGTGAGTTGGGTAATTCTTCATATAATTTAATTGATTTGTTTATAAAGATTTGAACAAAAAACAAGAATTTGAAAGTTTAGATAAAATAAAGGGACCAAATTTGTTTAAGAGGGAAAACACGTGTGGATTAAAATTGCATATAAATCAAACCAATAAGAATTAAAATGTAGTTAGACCATGTTTTAAGTAATTCCTATTGGGTGCTGTACTGTATCTTCCTTTAGTAAGTTACACTGTCTGAGAAATTCTGTGGAACATGCAGGTGTTGGCCATTTCACAAGCAAGCTGGAACTCAAACATCTCACATCCGTATTAGCAAATGAAAGATACTGCGATATTGGACATGTATTCTATTGTTTCATTAATTGCCACACGTTTCTTTCCGAGAGGTTTGGATTAGATTAGTGAGCAAAAGTGCAAAACTATTTACGAGTGTTGAAAAAATTCTTTCTGATTCTTCAGCCACGCAGTCAAGTCTATTTAAATGATTGAATTCTGTGAGGAAATCTATCCAGAAGTTGCATTGATATTTCAGCACAACGTACAAAACAAATGTCACATATTTCGGTGATTGCAGAGCCCCCCTCCCCCCAACCAACTGAGAAATGATAAGAAAGGCATGAGTTAGATTAGTGCTGTATAACAGCATAAAGACAGATATAAGTGACTAAACACAAATTAGGGCACAGAATGGAGGCTGCAGCTTCCGAGCAGCTTATGTATATAAATTCATCAAATAGTTTCCGGATCAAATCCATAGAAATCCAATTGAATATTCAAGTAGATATAGCTGTTGATGTCACCCTAAAAAGTACATAGCTGTTGCAAATACCAGTTTCCCATGTGCATACGAGTCTTTGTAGTTGATACTTGATACTAAAATCTGCATATAACTTTCCACTTGAAATTCCCAGTTTGCTTCATTTTATTTTATGGGAAACGACTGATACAAAATATTTGGGTTGATGTGGTTCTGAATAAAATCCACAGAAAAGATTCAATGGCTTGCTTAATTTCATGCAGCGGAGTTGGATGTATCGGGCTTGTTAGAGTACTTGGAAAGCCATTTCTGCTTGTTCTTCTGCGACGCATTCCAGTTTCGAGAAAATTGTGTAAGGCCTTCCCTTAACGACCCAAGATGTACCCCATTGTCAACCAAAATGCTTGTTACTCCCATTTTAGAGACCTATTCCAACAACATGATTATGATGACCAAACAAAGAATTAAAAACCAAATGCAAGCGTCAGAGTATATATTATAATACCGCTTGGATGTTCCTATTCTCATCATCGAAAAAGAGCATAGAGTTGAAGGGAACACCGGTCCTGGAATGAATTCTCTGAAAATGATCCGTTTTATGCGTCCAACTGGAATAAATTTCCTGAACAAATCACAACACAGTTAAGTTGAACTTAATGCTTGCTATGGAAATTGTAATTGAGCAACGAAAGATGATAAGATAAGACAGACCTGTGCAACGAACATCGAACTGAGGCTCAATTTGTTGAGAAAAGCGGTTGCTATGTCAGCTGTGGGTGAGCGAGAAGCGATTGCAACGTCGATCCCTTTCTCTTTGAGCGCTAACAATATGCCTTTGGCGTGGGGATACAGAGAAGGCATTTCACGCTTCGATCGACACTCGCTGAAATTCATATTGCATATGCAGAGCATGAGTAGTAGTACAGATTAGAGAGTGTAAATTAAATTAGGTTAAGGAAAAAGGGGGTAGGAACCAGTAGAAAGGCCAGAGGGTGTAATCGAGATCAAAAACGACGAGCTTTGGCAGAACATCAAACGCTCCAATTATCTGCAGTGCCTCAGCCTTCACCTTCTCCTCCATTTCTCTCTCTCTTTCCTCAAACTTTGGTATTTCTTTTAAGAATCACATATATATGCAGAGCAGAATACCACCCAACTTTCTCTACACTAACATGCCCGACCCGACCCGAAATGTGTTTATTCCGTCTTATTTTTACATCATGCCAAAATTTCCCAACTTTTTATATTTGAACAATTGAACCAGCTCCAAGGATTGTTGGCCTCTTGATTCCTGGATTTTTTTTTTTTACCATTGAAGTATTATACGCTTTTTTACCTTAAGGTTGCTTCCCTCTTTCACAAAAGGTTGATATAGATTAATATATGGGTTTGGTTTTAAATATTCGTACAATCGTAATAAATGAATAGCAATCAAAGTCTCAGTACATAGAGGTGCACTGGTGCATGTGCATGTGAGGGATAAACGCAAACGGTTGATTTCAGTTTTCTTGCATTTAGTTGTACAACATGGTGATGTTCCTATCTGAGTTTAAATATTAGGAAATATTACATTAATCTACTGATTTTTTTTTTAAAAACACTTACACCTTCTCTAGTTTTTAAAACAAACACTCTAGCTAAGTTTACAAAAGCAACTTACGAATATAACTTAATAATTAGTTTTCAATTTTGTGACACCGTAAAGAATTTTCATGAACCACACAAACAAACACTCACTTCCCTTATGTTTTTAATAAAGTCATTCTCACCTTTTTATTTAATAAATTAACATACATCCCTACTCTAATACTATCCAGAGGAGATGGGTGTTTTAAAAGCTAGAGGAAATGTTTACGTTATTTAAAAAGACATAACGAGATGTAAGTATAATAGGTGATGTTAGGGCTTTTTAAAAAAAAAAAAACTAGAGAAAATGTTAGCATTATTTAAAAACTATTTTGCATTACCATTAACCTCTTTCTCTCAAATATTATGGATCTATTTATTTAAAGTTTCTCGCAAATATATAGATTTACTCAAGTGTTGGTAAGTGTCTGCATGGCAAGACACACCGCTACCTAACAAAACTTTGGGATTCAATTCCACGAACAATAGTCTAATTAGAAAGGTTTCATAGGAATCTGATAGTATATATATTGAATTAGATGTAAGTATTTATCTTAACAGATAACAATTATATAAATTACTCAAGCCCTTATTAGTTTCTCTATAAAAATCAATTCTCCAAAATCAGTTCAAAATCATTTTTAACAAGATTGATTTTACTGAACCTAAATACTAAAATTAGGACACAGTTATTAGATTACGAACAATAAAAATTACAGTGATTGCTCGTGAAAATTAAAATGCAGATGAATTCACACAGAATCTAACTAGATAATTCATCAATGTCCTAAGCATAATATTGTTCAGTAAATATTAGACTCTAATCATCCGTTAGAATGGTCCGTCCATTTTGAGGAAAGTCGACATTCCAAACATTAAATTTGATTACTGAACGCGATGATAAACTTGAAATGGCTAAATGCTACTTGCACATTTAGAATACCAGATTCATTTACGCAACGAAATATTGAGTTACTTTGTCTAAATTAAAACAGCCCCGCTAAAATGATGACAAAAAAAGGTATTAACAGTTTTATACTAATCCTGCAGTGGTGAGGCGGGGGTAACGCAGATTGCTTCACCATTTAGGGGTCACATGTTGATAAGACCAAAATCTTTTTTTTTTTTTATCTATTTCTCTTTTACGTCTTAGGTTTGCGGTTAATACATTCAAATATTAACATTTAATTTTGCCTATAACCATCCTGCTGCTACTAACACTATTCAGAAAACATTACACATGCTTCTTTTAAAATGCTTCTTGTGAATCTGCGACTTGGACCACCTGCATTCACAAGCTTTGGCTTTTTGGTATCTGGTTCATCAGATTCATATGCTAGTGGCTCTTCGTTGGTAAATAAAGTATCATCTTCAAGACTCATTTTCTGATCCAAATCAAATATTTGACGGGTTACTGAATCCATATTATCCCGGAATGAGGAACGAGACTTAACACTCACATCAGCATCATGCCCGGCACTTGCCCCTGGAGAGTCCGGAACAACTAAGTTTGCAAGCCCCTCACCAGATGTCGAAAAATACTCGAGTACTGTCTTGTCTGAAATGTTGGACTCCTTGAGTTTCTTTAGAGGATGGTCTTCATGAGTAGATGTTCTTGGATAAGAATGGCTCTCAACAGCTTCCACAAAATTTACAGAGAATACACGATGTGATGTTTCTGATGCTCCATGATCTTTGCCGACGTATGATGTGGATGGGAAATCATATGCCGATATACCAACTTGGGAATTTTCTCTCTCTAATGATACAGCAGTTTTCTCACCAGACTCGTCAATTTCCTGTATTAGAGCAAGAAAGTTCAATTCTTCAGTTGGTCTCGAAACAATTTTATACAAAAGGCATATCACTACAAAATGCTTTGTTTTTCTGTGTCAATTTAACCACTCTAGGCAGATGAATAGCTGGGTATCACGATCAAGGCTATTGACAACTAGTATTCATAAACTCATGATAGGACTGTAGACTTCACATTCTAGTCTGAAATATTCACAGGCTTTTTATTCTAAATGTCAAACTAATGAATTTATCCACACATTTCATTCATACTGTACTTTTGTGAATTTGTTATATATGATTTCTGAGTTCTGAGGTGAGCTGTTCGCAGGTTGTCCAAGTTTGTCTAAACATCATTCCTTTTAGATAATTCCATCTGCTGTAGAAATGCTTTCAGCATAACTCAGACACCCAAAACAGTAGTCAAAGCTTATTCTAATAAACATGTACATATATATTATAAGTTATAACAATTCCAGATAAAAAGTTAAAAGGATCCAAATTGTGCAGACCCAGGTTGTCATTCAAGGCAGGCTAACATCGAGTAAAAAACATACTAGCAGACTTTGAACAAGTTGTAGATAAATAGCTATGAAGTAATCACAGTAATCAATCCAATGATTGAAATTCATTTACCTCTAATGGTGACATGAAACCTCTCTGATCACATGCTGACATCCGACAATCAGAATGTGAAGTTACAACTTGCAAGTGCTTGAAAACAAGTCCAGGTTCTCTCAAACATGATGCAACCTTTATGGGTGAAGCAGCTGGATACTGAATATTAGTAGTCTCCAGTTCAGTAGTGGAATCTGAAGGATTTTTACCAAGACACGAGGCTGGATGACAGTAACCCCCGACGGAATCTTCTTCCACTTTGGGCTTAACAATAATGGAAGGGTCTTCAGAGGGAAGACCTTTGTCAAGGCAATCAGTAGGAGGTGCTTGCAAAGAATTATTTTCAAATATATCATAAATTAGGTTCTGTATATGAGATCGTTTTAGTGAAGCCTCTGGCGGAGGGAACCAATTACTGCTCAACTGAAAATGAAAAGTTTAACTGAATCAACTGTATAAAATAAACAAATGAAACATGTTGGATCTCGTACAGATTACAGACCATTGACAAGATGCTTCTTTAAATGCAGGTGCCAGTTAAAACAGATGCAGGTAAAAATGGCAGTAATTAAGAAAAACTATTGACCTAGATAACACAAGCAACCAAACACACGTCTGACAAGCACAGAATACAATCAGAACTTGATAAGCTCATGTAAAGAAAAAAAAATAGTGCATAGAACACTTCAGACATAAAAATTTAACAATCTTCAGGGGGAGAGGAGGGGGGGGGGGTAAAAAGAAGAATGTAAGAAAAAAATACAAGCACCATTTGTACATGTTATGAACAAAATTATGTGTCAAGTAACCATTACATATGTCATGTCTACAATACAAGTTATCAATGGCTCAAGATTTCTCAAAATAAACTAATTTTACACCAGCACTGTGACGAGTCATCTTCAGACACTTACTGCTTAGGTTGAACTAACTGCAGGAAATAATCTGACTTCATTTGTTTATCTCATATAATCCCCAGTTGAAGTTCTCTAATCTCTTCCTAATTTCAGAAAAAGGCCGATGGCCATAGCAGCATGCATGTTGTCATATTTTTCCTAAAATATTCTTGTAACATAGGAATTGATGGAATCAGACAGAGCATCATCAGATTGCATAATCATGAACGCAAGATACAACTAATGGTGGTGCTACTTGAGCGAAATTTGAAATGATGTTAAAAATCAAACATTATATCACTAGAAATGCAAAAATGAAACTATATATCATGTTTAAAGTTTTAATGCAAATGGAAGTCACTCACAAAGTTGGAGAACTTTGTAATCACAAAAGGGTTAAAGTTGATTGGAGTTCCTTCCAGAAATCGTTCCACATAGTGGAGCAAAAAGAGGCCACAATCATATAAATTTTCCT